AAAAAAAAAAACAAACACCAGGACTTTCAAACACTCAGCCACCTGAACGGGGTCTGATACCCACTGCCCCTGAGTCAGCTAAAACTCTATTTTCAGGCCTCTTCTGTCCTCACCCAAGGGGTGGGGTGGAGGTTTTGTGGGGTGAGCACCCTGAGCCAGCTCTGAGGGCCAGGACCTGCTGCCAAGGCTCCTTCACCTTCCCAGAAGCCCCTGCGTACAGGACGTGGGACTGGGAAAGAGCTGGTGCCTTCAAGAGAACCCCTTGTCTGTCGGGTACCTGTGAATTTGCACCTGTAGGGTAGGAGGCTTGGTTTGTCCCTCCCCTAAGGATGGGGTAGGAGCCCTCCAGCCTGATCCTAGAACCTGTGCATCCCCGGACAGCCTGGGGGAAGGGAGTTATGTGATGGCATGGCACCTGCAGGCCCCGGGTAGGGAGGTGCAGGCTCAGTCCCTGCTCTGGCAGAACACGAGGGACGAGACCCGGCCCGGTGACCGCCCTCCCCGAGCCTGCCACCTCACCTGTCCAATGATGGGCTGGGATCAGAGCAGCGTTTTTGGGAGCGGCTCCTCAGATCAGGGGTCCTAGAAGATGCCCTGTTGAGAACAGAAGGTTTTGCTGTCACCTGGTCTGTGGAGTGCCACTTCTTGCCAAGAGCCACCCGCACGTCAGGCCGTTCACCTCTCCAAGATGCCCAGCAGCAGCACTGCTGAGCTGAAGCCATTTTTCACTTAACAGCCCTCAACACCACATGGAGCACCTCTTAGGAAACGCCAGACCAGAGGCTCTCGAGGGTACCTGGGGGGCCGGGGCTAAGGATTTTAAGTGCTGCAGGGTTCCTGGCAGGGGAGGGGTGGGGGATGGCCCAGACCAAACACCTAGGAGCCATGCTTTCCCTCCTCCCTCTCATCCCATAGCCCAAAAGTGTCTCCTCCAGTCCAGCACCTCACCCGGCCAAATCTCACCTTCCGCCTGGCCCAGGGCAGCTCCCTGCTGGTCACGAGTTCCACTCCCGTCCTCCCCAGTCCCTTATCCACACCACAGGAAGGGGTTTGAAAACTGTAAGCCGGACTTTGTCACTCCCCTGTCTACAACCATGTAATCGTGATGTAGCCAACAGGTTTCCCATAAAATCCAGGCTCCTATGGAACCGACGGAGCCCTGCCTGGATTGCCCTGCCCCTCCTCTGTCCTCAGCACTCCCACGCCTCCTCATACACACACTCATTCCTAAGGCCACTCTTTTCTGTGGTTCCAGTACCCCAGGCCCTTGCCCAGCTCAATGCCTCTGCCCTGGTGGTCCCTTCAAAGCCCTCTGCTGGCTTCTCAGGCCCTTCCCATAGGCCAAGTTCCCTCCTCCCAGAGGCCTTCCCCAAACACGGAATCTACACAGCAGGCCTTGCCTCTAACTGCACAGTAGAATCAAAGCCTGCCAACACGCAGCACCCTGTCCCTGCCCTGACCAAGTCATCAGAATCCTGGGGAGGGGGGGTTCCCCTGCCGACTGTAAGGAATAGCACCTTTGACACGGGGAGGCTGGGGGGTGGGGGTGGGGGGCGCCTGTCACATGGCCCACTCACTGCAGTTAGCTCATTGGTTCACGAGTGCATCTAGAGTCCTGTGAGAACTTGACTCCTTCAGGGGAGGGCCATGTCTGCCTCATTTGCCCTGGATCCCAGAGCCTAGAGCAGTGCCAAGCACGTGCTAAGCACACGATATGTTTTTGCAGAAAGAAGGAACCAGAAGGAGGTGTCTGGGAAGGTCGGGAAAGATTTCTTTGATCCTGCACCTGGAGGTTTCCAGTCCTTAAAAATGACATTGTTGGTTTATGGGAAGGGGTGGTTGCTTCCTCCCAAGAATGGATTTTGACCTCCTCTGGGTCAGAAAAGCTGGTGGGAGCTGTGGACCCTCTCCCCAGATGCAGAGAGGCAGGCATATGTGTCCATTGGGTTTCAGGGGGTCACCAATCCTGGAAAGCCAAGAGGTTCCTACTTCCCCCATTTGCCTTTGAGTAGTGGTCCCCAATCTCGGCTATAGGTCAGAATTACCCTGGGAGTTATACAACTTGCTCCTGCCTGGGCCCCCCTCCCAGAGGTCCTGATTAAATTGGTCTGGGGTACAGACCAGGCATTAGGATCTTTTTAAGTTTTCCAGAGGATTCTAACGTGTTGAGACCCACTGCCAGAGGCCCGGCCACTAGCATGGCCTGGCCCCTCTGCTCTGAGGGGGATGCAGGTGGGCCTGGGGTCCCTGGGGCAGCATAGCCTGGCTGGAGAGAAGCTCCCATGAAGCTCCCTGCACCTCTGCTCCTTCCTCAACTTCCTGGAGGCTCACGCCCTCCGGGGTTATTTACTCCAGGAGCAATATCCACTCCGCAGAAGACCTTCAAGATCACTGCATCTCTCGGACGGGATGGCGAGAACAAGAGCCAGCAAGTCACACGGCAAGATCAGGGCCAAGCACACAGTGGAGGACTCGGCCATCCCCGGTGCACCTGCTGCCCTGCCCTGGCTCAGCGGGCCTTCCTTCTGCACAGACCAGGTATAAGAGGGTCACACAACAACCTTTGCTCCCCACCCCCGGAGCTGCCAGAGCAGCCACATAACCTTGGGAGGCATTGTGGAGCTGCCTCTTTCTCAGCAGATGGGGATACTAACCCACCCACCCCACCCTGCAGAGGTATGAAGAGGAACCACGATCAGGCTAGGGCACAGTAGGGCTCAATCCACGCTGGGCACTCTGGCCACTCCTCCCATTCTCCCTGCCTGAAGATGCCAAATCTGCCACATCTTTACCAGCTGTGTGGCCTTCAGCAATCACTTCAGCACGGTGCCTCAACTTCCCCACCTGTAAAATGGACTTACTAAGGGATTATGGCAAGGCTTATGTGAGCTTGTCTCTGCAAAGTGCCTGGCACCCAGGAAACGTCAAATAATTGCTACCAATTACAATAATAACAATTACTATCCAGAAGTTGTTGCCTTCCTGACCAACAGTCCGAAGCCCTAAGGTGGGTGAGGGGGGGCTTGATTCAGTCTCCAAATGTATATGCCTGACCTGGAGACCTCCATGCCTGAGGGTGAGGACGGGCACACCCCGGCACAAGGGTGGGGGTTAAGCAGGGCAGGGCTGGGCCAGAGGGTAGGGATTAAGCAGGGTGGGGCTGGGCAGCCTAAGGAGCAGGGCCTCTGCCCTGTGCATGGGCGGAGCCTCTGTCTCTGAGCCTCTAGCTGTGCCTCAGGGGCCTGCCTGAGGCCTGGAGGTCCAGCCAGTTTGGTGAGTTGACAACTGATCTCACCGCGTGGGCTCAGCTGGCCTGCTCGGCAGAAAGTGGAATGAGAAAGCCTGGAGTGGATGTTCTGCTCTGGAAGCCCGCCTATCTGGGGGCTCTGCACCTGCAAGCTGGTCCTGAGCCACTCAGCTCGCCAGGTCTCTGGACTTTGTCCCAGTCATCCATAAAAAGAGGCTGGCCACAGGTGGTGGTGTTTGTTTTCATGCGTGACAGGTGATACGTTTCCTGAAACCTCAGCTAGCTCCAGGGGCTGGCTTTTTGACCTCTTCACGATCTTATTTTTCATTCCAGGTTCTTAACTCTTGTTGTTCTTGTTAAAACAGGAAAGAAAAGAAAAAGTAAAAGGCTGTTTCCTTCAAGACCTAGGTTTGAATCCCAGCTCTGCTTCCGACTAGCTGTGTGACCCTGAGCAAGGGAGTTACTGAATCTCTCTGAGCCCCAAATCTCATCTCTAACATGGGGGGCACCACCTCTGCCACCCTGGGTCAGAAGACCACTCACCCAGATCAGACCCTCCCAGGAATCCCAGGATGTTGAAGCCCCAAGCCCTGCTGTTTGGCTTACAGATGCAGAACCCGGGGCCCAGTGAGAAACAGCTCCTGCCACACGATCCCACTAGCCGGGGGGACAGGCTCTGGTTCTACTGAGGACCTTAATACCTAAAGCTGGGACTGACTTCTGGCATTTGAGGGAAGAAGGCCAGGGGTACCATGGGAACGTAGGCAGCAGCTCCCCCCACCCCGCCAGAGACTGTGACAGAGGGGTAACAGCACCTTATAGTTTCTTTCACACCATTCCCACTGTCTCTTATCTAATCTCTGTAACAACCCCCCCAGATATTGTTATCCCCATTTAACAAATAAAGAAACTGAGACTCAGAGGTTCAGTGACTTGCCTAAGGCCACACAACTAAGTGGCTAAGCCCTGATTAAAATTCAGCTCTGACTTGAGACCAGAGCTCCCCCCCCATCCCCCACCACTCTGTGAGGTGGAGAGCGGGACTTCATCATCCCTGTTTTAGAAGCAGGATCTCCAGGGCTCAGGAAGGTGGAGGTACTTGCCCTTGTCACGTGGCAGATGGGGGCCCAGCTGAGTTTTGCGTCCTCCCAGATTCTCTGACTCTGGAGTCCAGTGTCCTGCTCACTCTGTGATCCTGCTCCCCACCACCGAGCATCCTCACACGGGGGTCACTGAAGCCCGGCGTTAGAGAGGCAGTTCCCGGGTCCCGAGCTCATGGAATCAGAGCAACCGGGGATGGGGCCAGGCCTCTGCAGGCTTCACGCACAAGCGTTTCAGAACCCGGACCCCACGCGAGCCAGCGGTGACAGTGATGGTTGGGCAGGGTCAGGCTGAAACACCAGGACACCAACCTGGGCCTGACTGGCACAGGCAACCCGAAAGGGGGTAGCATGCCCCCCGCCCCGAGAATGGCCCGTGGGTCAGAAGGCCTGAGGGGCTGTCCTCCGAGGGGCTCCCAAGTGGCCACTTCTACTCAAGAGATTCCGTCCTGAGCCAAGCCCACTGCAGTGCGTGGAATCTCCACTCCAGGCGGGCCCTGAGCTGGACACGGGAACAGGATGAATGAAACCCACGCATCCCTGCCCTCAGTGCCCCGTCTGGAGGGACAGAGCCACGCAAGTGAGCAATTTACACACCAACATCACCTTCAAGCAGCACCCAGACTCCCGCTCTCCCTCTGAGGGACAAGACAGGCACTTTAGAACATAGACTCCGGTACTGAACAATAACAAGAGCTAATGCTTTTGTAGTTACTACTTGCCAGAGATTGTGCTGAGCGCTTCATGTGGCTCGGTTCATCCTCACAATGACCCGACGAGGTGACGACTGCTTTGAACTCCAGTTTATGTGTGAAGAAAGTGAGGCTCAGGGTGGGAAAGGGACTTGCCCAAGGTCACACAGACCGTAAAGCTGGGAGTTGAACCCCACCAGTCCAACCCTCTGCTGTCACGCTATGCTGCCCACAGAAACCAATTTATAAATGATAGGGCACTAAAATAGCCTCACCAAGGCCCAACCTACTACGTTCACTGGGTTTTACAGCCCAGCCTCTGAACCAAACCAACTGAAGACATTCTGGAACCACACTAGGCACCAGGGACCAGCTTGCACACCCAACACAGAGACTGGTGGCAGGTGGTTAACAAAGGGCTAACCTCTGGGCCAGGCCTGGGGTTCCTAAGAGACTGAGGCTGGGCGTTAAGTGTGGGCCCAAGGGAGGCAATTAGGGAGAAGGAAGGGAACTCTAACCAGGGACCCCACATGGCATCAGGCAGGCTCTTCAGTC